GGTTGTTATTTTACTAATTCACTAACCTTGATACTTTTAACAAGTCTATCTTGAAATTAAGTTTCTAGTTATTTTAGGTCATCTGACCCGAATAGTCTGCCTATTGCCGTGCGAAAACTTTTGACATTTCAAACTTCTTCTCAAATTCAATCCGTGGGATTGAGCTCAAGCTTACATGAAATTATCCTTAAATGGTCCTGACCATTTTTGGGTATGTCTGAAATCCAAGATGGTCGTCATGGCCGCCATCTTGAAAACAGTTCAACTGGTGCCATTGAACTAAAAACTTGTTGAAATGTTAAGGAAAGAAAGCAGACAAAGTGTTGTTATTTTTCAACCTTGTCTAAACTTCGATACGGCAGCCAGGGAGGCCATTTTGTAACACGATTGTGCAATCAAAGTTTTCCTTTGCAACGCTTATTTGAAACCTCTTCAGAAGTTTCACTTGTGGGATTGAGCTCAAACTTGCATGAAATGATCCTGAGATGGTCTATACCAAGTGTTGTTGTTTGTCGGATATGTCTAAAATCCAAGGTGGCCGCCATCTTGAAAAAACATATTTTAAATTTCTGCAGTTCCACTGGTGTGATTGAGCTAAAATTTGGTGGGAATGTGAAGGAAAAGTAGCCAACTCAGTGTTGTTATTTTCTGACCTTGTCAAAATTTCAATATGACAGCCAGGGAGGCCATAACATGATTGAGCAATCGTGGTTTTCCTGTGGAACGACTATTTCAAACTTCTCCAGATTCACCAGTGGGACTGAGCTCCAACTTAACTGTAAAAAATGCCACTTTTTCGGTTACCTACTCCTCACCAAAACTACCATTTGCATAATGGTAAAGGGCTTCTTAATAAGATTTCATTTAAATAAGAAAAAGAACCTTTCGTCCAGCTAAAACTTTTTGTGGTCTGATGACCGTTAACGCCCATGGCCTCTTGAATTTTTCTTTTGTTTCGTTTCGTTTGCTTTTACATATTTGAAACTGCATGTGCAATATGTATTACATAGATAAACTTATGTCTTCAACAGACATCAACTGCACCGATGAAACGGCTTTCATAGGGAAGCCTGTAACCCTTACTTGCAATATGTCAGTGAGTTTTGACTATATCAACGTAACGAAGGCGACAAGATACATAGCAGACGTCATTTCCGATGGAACGGTGATAAATAGGAATCTGAAGGCTGGGGAACACGTGACCTTCACTCAATCGTCCCTGAAGATATCCTACGATAGTACAGAATGTGAGGATGCCGGACAACTTACTGTTTATATCCACGAAACTGGAGGAAGCAATGAATCACAGGCAGTATCACTTGTTTTAAGGGGTAAGCTTAGGTGTCAATTTTTGCGGTTAAAATACCAAACAATCATTTTGTTCAACTCTGGAAAAAGGCAAATTTCAAAGAAGCGTATATAATCAATTAATAAAAAAATTACAACATGATCCTGATCCAAACAAAATCAATCACAAAATGTGACCAAAAGAATGATTTACATAAAGAACAAGCGTTTTCTGTTTCAACAACGAAAAGGTACGTGAATACAACAACAGAACCAACAGGCAGACTAACGGGTATCAAACAAGTCCAGATTTATATCGCACTTCGAATTATAGTATTTCTAAATCAGGCACTGTGATGATCGTAAAGCTTCCTCATAAATTATACGATTTGGGTAATGGCTCTTCATCCATTTAAACAGAAAAAAATAAACTCCTCGTGAATTCTTTTTCAAATGAATACATAACAGTGGTGAAATAACTAAGGAAATGATAGAGAAAATTCAAGTGTTTTGTCGTATCGCTGTCTTCCTATATCGCCACCTTCAAAGGCTTCATTTTAGATATCACGTGACATTACATACAAAGCATATCGTGGGGAAACCCTACCCATCACGCACTTGTGTTAATGTTAACAGATGACAAAACAGTTTCAATTTAGTTCTAAGATAATAAAGACGCACATAAAGGCTATATTTTTTGGGGTAAATTTAGATTTTATTTCTGAATGGTTCTATGGCGGCTTTCTAAATGTTGATTCGACATTTCGATTTAGATAACCTGTTTAGTTTGTTCTTCGTTTCTGCGGTGGTCAATATTTTAGCCCTCCTAAGGTTAACTCTTCCCAAGTATCGTTGAACAGCCTATATCAGCTCTTGTTCCTGATCATATACTACATCAATTTATCTATGCTTTCTCATATTTCAGCTTGATGATGGGCTAAATCTTCAAAGTAAAGAGTTTCAATTTATTTTGTAATTATAAACCTATGGGATTTCTTTGGACTACATAATAGTGTAATGGTTATACTAATAGAAAGTAATACTGCATTATCTGCATAAACATAGTTCTACCAATGTAAAACTGTCATGTGTGATCGTCTCGGAAGTAAAATGATGATGGTAATTGAGGCACTTTGATATTTTTCAGCAAAGCCACATTCTGTGTCAATGATGATGCATCCAGATTTCATTGAAAATTTCGACCGTTCGGGATCAGAGCACGTGTGTGAGGGATACTTGGGTTTCCCTCTCGGTGATGACGCTCGACTAGAAGTCACAATGGTGAAGCGTGGAGATAGCAATGTGTACTCAGTACCATTAGCAAATTATGATGGATCCAGAGGAGATACGAAAACCCTAGAAAACTGTAACTACAAAGCCAGACTAGAATTTGGATTAAAAGTCGGACTCGAATGGCAAAATGGTACTATCACATGCAAGGCAATTAATAGCAAAGTTCTTGAACAGGGTGATACGGAACAAAATGATACTGCAGCTCTAGAAATAATTCCATGTGAGTATACGATCAACATGTAATCTAGACGAATTATCGGACGAAATATTGTCTATATGTTAATGTAAGGTCATATATCACAACAAATTATGAGAAATCATATCAATAAAACGCTTTCATTAACTATGTACAATATGATTGTATTTTTATGAACATATCTGTTTTCCTTCAGCTGATTATTGCAACGGTGAATCGGACAACACCTTCAAAGTAAGTCCGTTTAACTGTCACAATTATGTTCAGTGCCACAACAACATCTCGTACGGCAAAGGGTGTGGTGATGACTGTTTTACAGGTTTACAGGTGGCGCCCTTGTGTGGTGACTGTCAGACCTACCCCTGTAGTTTAACACCTACAACAAGTGAGTAAAACCACATTTAATGTCAACAGTGACCGTATAAATCATGTGATGTATCTTATTTAAAACGATATTTATTTCACGAATGAATTTCAATGATTTCATAAGTCATATCGGTTGATATATTATGTCAAGGATAAGATAGATATATATCTTTCTTAAGATTCTAAAATCGATTTACTCTTAACGCCATTGTCATCTACTTCTTGTTTTTTCCCTTCTAATTTTGTCATGCCTGCCACATAACAAAATGCAACGATTAATATCCCCCCTCTTTACATTAGATATGTATTTCTGCACCAATTTACCCAGATCATGCCGTGAAGCAATATTTTATGATTTCATGTAAAGCACACATTTCTTTTTTCTGACACTTATGCAAAATTCTTTCAGCTACCACAACTACTCAAGCTACGACAACACCACCACCTGACGTATGTAAGTAAAGTGTGTTGATGAAAAATGATTGTTACCTGATATTTCCTTACGACCATTGAAGGAAAAATGTATGATGAAGATGCGTTGTCTATCCGTTTATACAAATTTTACTATTTTCATTATGGTTTGACCGAGAGGAATCAAACTTTGTTCACATTAGAAACTTGTGATTTACGAATCCTTAGATCAATAATCTTTCTACCATAACCATAATACTACAAATGCATGAATATAAGAGTTAGTTGATTGAAGATATTACAAATTTTGGGGTAATCCTATTTCTGCCAAATATTGTTTACATGCAGACGGATTCTATTTGACGGTGCTTAATTTGCTGTTTCTCTTATTTGTTTTTAATGGCTTGGATAAAACTTCACAAGTAGATATTCAGTCATGAACAAACTATACATAGAAAAAGTTACAATCATACGGTAAGTGTTTACTTCTTTAGCGTCTTAGTATCGCATTTCTAGGAATAATCTATGAATGATGAACATTTTCAGTTGCATCATGCACTGGTGTGAACAGTGTAGTCGGTACGTCGGCAACCGTAACATGTTCGGTAAACAAGGATTCCTACACATTTATCAATGTGACGTTCACTCCAGCCAATTCACAGACATCAGTCCACATGGTGGACGTTCTTCCGACTCCCGGGGTAGTCAATGACAACAGTGGCCCAAACAGGATTGTGACAGTGTCTAACAATGGAAAAACCATAGATATCGAGTTCACATCACTTTCCTGCGCTGATGAGGGAGGGTTCCTATTAAGGGTGATTGCAGAGTCAGGAAATTCCTCAACTACTGTGGCTGTCAGTGTTAGAGGTAACGGAAATAATGAAAACAAAATTAATAAATTGGTTTGACTGCTGTTTTTAAAACGTGTACCATTGTGACTATATGCGTCGTTTAACAAAATAAAAAGGATTGTGTGTATGTAGGTTAATATTTCACTTTTAGCTATGATCAACAATCTCAGGCACGTCAGAGATAATCAGATATTAAGAAAATTGTTACAGCAAACCAGATAAAAAAGAAAGGAACACAAGAAAATAGTTATCAATATAGACATTGTACAGTTAGCAATATCTACGTGAAATGATTATACTTTAATGAAGAACTATCGTTTGAAAAACAACTACTTTTGATTAAGTTTTCTCCAGAGATGTTACATGTACTCGTGACCTTATTTCCATTCCTTTTTTGGGTTTTGACAGCGTAAGCCGTCGCTCTTTTATTCGACAAATTATATCATTATTTCTTTGAACAAGTCTCATTTTGACATCTTTTTTTTGTCGTACATTTTCATCATTTTATCGATTTCGTGTTTAGCTACAATTTCTGCTGACATGTTGGAAACCAGTACATTCTGGACACATACTTTTTAACCTGCTCTTTACAGCTACACCCAAAACGAATCCAACGTTAACCTTACCGATTCGAATTGCTACCGGACTTCCTCTTTCACCTGGGGGTTCGTGTTCTGGCGAAGTGGGGTACCCACATGGAGAGATCGGTCTACAGATAAAATTAGTCGGATCAAGTTCTTATGTCGATTTTACGGGATTCACATTATCAGAAAAAACATCTGAGGGCAACTGTACAGTAACAAAAAAAGAAATGTCCTTCAGCGGAACGCCTACTTCAGCAATCAACGGGTCATACATAAGATGTGCCACAAGTCACCCCGATACAAATGATATTCTATTTTCCTCGGAAGGGATGGTTTTTGTTATTGATGGTGAGTATAGACTGTTTAAGGGTTGTTGTTTTAGGGTAAAGTGTCTTGCTGAAGGAGACCACCAGGCCAGCACAGACCCCTCCTTTCGGCTTCATGCGTCCTGGACAATCACCTGACGTTATGTAGTCCAACTCACTTATCGACTGAGCTGTCGCGGCCATAATTATAATGCGATTTTGTAACGTGATCTATTGTATAGAGATTGACATGCATTTTAACAGAGAAAATTTTGATAATTGAAAATGAAAACATCCAGAGTACATTACTATATATGTAGGATATCCTCATTGTGACAGAGGTCATTATTTCTTTCAAGCTTACTAATCTGACGCTGAACCGATCGAGCTAAAGAGAAGTTCTCTCTAGCCGAGCGGTATTTTACCACAGTTACATACTACCCTTCCAGGATATAACTCGTCCTCTAGTTTACAGAGGTGGCAGCAATTCATGTGAAGGTAACGCTAAGTATTATACCAGAGTCCCTACATGAGTACCAATGTAACAGGGGTCAGTACTTATTTCGATACCTTCGCTAGGATTCGAACCCGGGACCTCTGGCTTACTTATCTGACGCTGAAACAACCGAGTTTAAAAGACTAGGTTACATCATATCATCGTTATTGGCTTTTATTTAATTCATTTTTAGTAGTGCGATATGTATAATATATATATTTATTACATAGCTATCCGGTTACCAATGCAATAAGTCCCATTACGTAAATGTATGTTATTACAAGTGTGATATGATCCTTACCATCTCGTCACACAAATTTCGACCTTTGTGTACATTGGATTAGAGTGCAGCCGAAAATGTTGGACGACTCCGTACCGTCCCGAAAACTACATACGTCAATGCTACTGCGCTTCACACCAGTCACTTGTCTGATGAAGATGACTGTGTAGTCATCGAAACGTCACACTGTTTATATTTACTAGTTGTGTTATAAGAACCTTTATTCTATTATGTATATTATCTCTGCTGGAACTTTCCTTTATAATTTGGGAAATAGTTTTGTGTTTTCTTAAATTATATTACTGACAATCAAGAACTCCTGAGACGAAATATTGATTGTCAGCAAGAAGTTTTTTTTTAAATATCAATAGGATATCAGTCATGATATAAACCACTATAACAGGATACCATAACTGTATCATATTGATACAGAGAGGAAGTATGGTAAATTACATCCCAGACAAGATAAGTTTAAGAAACACTTTGCTCCCGGTTGCAAGAAAACTATGAAGTAAGATAAATATGAAAGCCATACTTCTTCAGATGCAAAAGTTATGGCAATGTTATTTTTTCAAATGTAGGTCAAAGGTCACAGTCACATGTTACAAGGAACACCTATGCCTAATATAAAAGCCCTACCACTTAAGGTGCAATAGTTTCACAGTCACATGTTACAAGGAACACCTATGCCTAATATAAAAGCCCTACCACTTAAGGTGCAATAGTTTTGGACAGCAAACAAACAGAACTAAAAACAATATGTCCCGATCTTTTGATCCGGGGGCATTAAAAGCCAAACGATGCTTATGTTTATCATTTAGAATGTCAATTTTATACACATGATATTTACACTGTGGATTATCTACGTTTCTATTTAACCTTTTACTACTTTCAGGGAATATGTGCAATGGGCTTGCCGATGGTACATTTCTCTATCATCCATACAGCTGTGGTTTTTACATAATTTGTTCTGCTAACACGATATTTGTCAGTCAATGTGGTAGCAGTGCACCGTGCATAAAAGTTGGGGAAAATTCTGCTCACTGCGATACGACATGTGACCACTGTCCAAGTTATCAGACTAGTGAGTATTAATGCTTAAATTTGGTTGTTGTACACATGCATATTCTAAACTTAATTATAACTATATTCAATTAGTTGATTTTGATTGCTTCATAATGTGATTATGCAAATTTGAAATATCTATTCCATAATTTGTATCAATATTTCATACGAAAATTAATAATTGACAGTTATGTGTTATAATCAATATATAAGCTATACTGTTTCAATGGGTTTTTTTTTAATTCTGTCGTTTGCTTTATATTCCTATATAAATGTAGGTATGTTGTGATCCTTTTACTATAGTTTTGTATTACTTCCTTAGCACTGACCCTTATACTATTTTTATCGTTTTAGTTATACCTAATGTACCATAGATCATGTGACACAACATGGCACAACGATGAATCTAAGCCCTGAGAGCGATCAAAGGTCTGCATCGAATATGATAGAGTTTTGAAAAGGGACACGTTGAAAGGATGCATATTTATAAAAAAAAAAGTGTTGTCGTATGGATCGCTTATTTAAAAAACAATGTTCGTAGGAGCGTCCGATCAGAATACATCAGTGTGTGACTTTTCCATCGTTCCATTAAATTACACCCGCGAGTTGTACTCCGTCAAAACTCACCACTTTGCAGTCTATCGAATGGGATTGAGTTACCGCCTTTAATAGAACAGAATCAATATCCTATCAGAGTAAATGTCATCTTATTGGAGTAAATATCAAATATCTTTATCTCCCGGTAAAATATAATTTTAGCATGTAAACATATTGAAGCATATATTTTTTTTTATTCTGAGAAAGAAAGCAGTATATGAATGAAGATTGTTACCCCTTTTCTATTTTTCTTCCTTAAAATCACATCTCGAATTGTCCATCTGTATTTCATCTTGATTAGATGGCACCTATATATAGTAATTAGTAAGAAGTGGTCATATAATGATAATCGTGTATGTACATATATGATAAATGTGACTTATTAAGTTGAAATGAGTACATATATGATAAATTTATCTCATTTACTTGAAATGAGTTTATATATGATAAATGTAACTTAATGAGTTGAAATGAGTACATATATGATAATTTTATCTCATTGAGTTGAAATGAGTTTATATATGATAAATGTAACTTAATGAGTTGAAATGAGTACATACGTCATAAATGTAACTTTGTTAAAATTTTCACATAATAGCACAAATATGTATTCATGTTTATTAAAAACAACTAATGAAATGTTATTGTTGATTGAAATACTTCAGTGCTAATTACTTATTTTCTGAAACTAGTGATCAATTAAACACTTAAATGTTAACCATTGGCAAATTCTTATATAATAATTCAATAAGATAGATAGGTTTTATTAAAATTTTGTACAAAATGAAATCACAATTGAATTTCTACAGAAATGCACAGAATGTATGAGTAAAAAAAATACATAACGTCTTTTAAAATACGGAAATGGCACATCAATTCGCTAAGAGGTAATTTTCGAGTGGCAATGTATATTTAAGAAATGTGCTTTCTTTAAACAATTTATTTTTCATGCTCCTTCCGTTGTTATTTATGTCTTTTATTACTGCTGTGGTTTGAAGAGAATATATTATTATGTAGCTCTATTTATTCGCTTAAAATCAAAGTTTATTTTTTGTTGTAGTTGAATAAGCACTGTATATACTCATTTCGTTCATCAATGCAGATTCGTTGTGACAACAATGGAAATATAACATGACCAAATAAAATGTTCTATTTTTATCAATCGTATTTTACAGATTACAACTTTTTATTTAGATATTTTAAGGGATATATGTATTTTACCACAAATAAATGAAACACACCAATGTTGTTAATAAAAGCATTTTACATCAGACATTTTTTCTGTGTTATTGAATACTTATATTCTGTTTTCGTACTGTATAATAGTGATGTTTATATCTTTGTACTTTTAAAATTAGCTTATCTAATTTTGAAAATCGTCGCATTTTAAAAGAAATATATACCAACAGATACCATGATTTTAACTCGATATTAAATTATGATGGAGAGGATTAGTGATTTTCTGGAAAAAAAACTAATTACTATGTTTATGCAATGTCCTTCGTAGTTTTAAAAGGCAGATGTACCCAGGCATTGAGAACGAAAACGAACTTATCTATGAGGGACGCTTTGTTACTGAAATTTGCTCAGAATTCAAACATTAATTTATTAATCCATGCAGTGGAATATAAACAATTTATGTTGAATGCACAAGGTAGTTTTAATGATGTTTGACATTCTTTGATGTAATTAGAAACAAGTGTATCAGAACTTATTGCTTGTCTAGCTGTTGAAAGCAAGGCAAGCTAAAATGAAAAAGTCACGTAAAAGGGATCTATAAAATTCTCATTACACAAGACAAAAGCAAATCAACATACACCAAAGAATTAAGGAAACAATCTTGCAGACATTTATAAATCCTGACGTGATAATTGCTAGTGCTAATAAGTCGACTTAAGACATAGAAAACTTACAAATGTTTAGTTTCCATGCATATCAGGAATGGAATGTTGATAGGAAATATTACCTCAAATTGTGTTAAGACTGTTATTTCATGTCTAGATAAGAACATCTGTAGGATATGATTCGACAAAAACACATCCAGATTATTGTCAGTTTTGCCCATACAGGTAGAAATTCGTCTTTTAAAGACCTGTCATTGAGCAAATTAAGAAAAGATAACACAACTTTAAAGACATGTCACCGAGTCAAGGTTATAAAATTTAACACAACTTTAAAGACATGTACCTGAGTAAAGGTTATAAAAAATAGTACAACTTTAAAGAGATATACCTGAGTCAAATTTAGAAAAGATAGCACAACTTTAACTAATAATACACTTTTAACAACTTATCGTTAACCTCGCTAGTTTAATTATTAACAACCCTTCTACCAGAGCAAATACCCCAACTTCACTACACTAAACATTTCTTATGATGCCTTTGTTTATTATAATGTAGGTAGGAACGACAACTCTAGCAGAGCTTGGAAAATATAGCTGTATATAAAAAGAGATGTAACTGTACTATATTGTAGCGATTCTGCACTAGTTTATTCAAGTTGTGCATCCTTTATTTTATTTTGGATCTTTTGAATGCTTGATTCCTCCATGGTAAACCACTACATATTATCAAACGAAATAATGAAAACTAAATACGCACATAAACAGCAGCTGATTCATACTGGTATCACTTGCAAGTGAGAAAAATATAAAGTCCTTGTTTCTGGATAAATAACAAATACATTTCATCTCGTTTGATGGAAACTTCGTGTTTTTCATTTGTAAGCAAATATCAAACTGTTACTCACCAAGAAACAAAAGATGAATATACACCTTATATTTATCTATTTATTTTCTATTTTATCTATTAGCATTTTTAGTTACGTTATAAAACAGTTTTGATTTGAGAGAATGATAAGAAAATGATATTGCAAGTCGGTTTTGTTTCTTGATAAATCAAACATATTTCATGCAAGGAATACATAAACTTATATCAAATTTCTACTATGTGTACATGCAGCATTAACCGGGCGAATTAGAAAAATACATAAAACTGCAGTGCCTTAATTAGCCATAGTGGTGAGTTATTTTAGAAATGTTAAAGGTGGATCAACAAGGTACTATGTGGAGCACTCTTTCCGACCTCAGCATAAATAAGTAATCAAGTTGTGAGCTATAGAAAAACTTTAAGATGGCGTGTTTTGCTGATACAAGCATTTTGTGAGGTACTAATATCTGTGATTGCGAGAACATGAAGTTGTAACCCCTTATAACTTGTTCACTTCTGTTTAAACATCAAAGCATTTTGTTTTCATTGATTTTGAGTGTGAAAACATATTTCAATTGACACACACATAATAAACCCGAAAGTAAATATCAGCTATTAACCTGTGTTGAACATGCTTTACATATTGAGGATATATTAAGGTGTAATTTACACTTTCGAACTATTTCCTATCTAATCCTTGAATATATGAAAACTAAAATATCCCCCCCCCCTTTCAAATTGTTCGTTTTTAGGGTTTATCGCCCCTTGAACAGCCAGGGCCATTTTGAGGCGGTGTTTCCTTAACAGGAATACACATCAAGTCTGCAAGTGTCTTTCCCTGGGATAAGATCATGACTGTGGTAACAGGTTTGTTTCTCAGCTTGATAAAAAATAAATCTGAACAGGTATGGATTTCGCATTGATAGCTGCTATTAATTGGTCTACTAGCTCATTCTCGCGATGATAACAATCGATTTAAGATGTGTATACGATTACGTGTTTTCACACTGTTTTCATCTCCTTATGTTTTTTTTTTTTTTTTTTTTTGCAATAAGTGACACGCACTTTTAACACAAACAAATGTAGAGGTCATGAACTTCAGGTCACGAGACATCACAGAAACATTCATATATATATATATATATTATATATATATATGTATCTGCACACTACGACAAGAAACAACACAACAACGAATATGAATGAAAAAGGCCACCCTTACAGAGAGGGTGACTTTGTATTTATTTATGAAATTCAAAACATATCTTACAGTTACAAAAAGCATAAAATGAACAAAAGATTATTTTTTAAGTAATTATAATAAAAAGCCAATGAGGAGTTAACAAAAAAACCTCCACAAAGACATGACAAAATGTCTTCCCCACAAATATATATTCATATTCAATAATTTAGTCTTTATCCTATATTTGGTAAAGTTGTTTTTGTTTTTGTTTGTTTGTTTGTTTTTTTCATAATGTGTTGTTTTGATGAGATACGGGTTTCTCCATTTATATTTCTATAATTCAGTGTTACACATTCATCATTCAGGAAGCATGACTATATAGTTCTTTATTATCTCACAAGTTTCATGTTGCCGTGAAAAGTAATTCAAGATACCAATAGTTAGGTATTGTTCAGTCACGCTCTGGAAGACGGCAGTGTAAATATCGTGGTAACAAACACTGTAATAGTTAAAGTATACCTGTTCCGATAGCTGCATATATAAAGACGACATAGCCTACTCGTTCCACAGGTGACATAGTTACGTTAAGTGTTTTTTTAATATTTGTTGAAACTTTACTCAGCTGTGAATCTTTTTTGTCATCCTCGATATTCAGCCTAGAGTACGATTAATATCACCTGATTTATTGATGTGAAAACATGCAACACAAAATAAAGATTGTCCAAAACATAACACAAGAGTAACATTATCCAATTCAGATTTATATACATCAGAATCAATAAATCCATTTAATAACATTATACAACTATTTCGTCTTTTAAGGACTCTCTGCGATTTTGAGGTGAAACCCAACAAGACTTTCGCATTTATATATATATTTGTTAGCATTATATCAATGAATCGAAACTTAGTACGATGTGTTTCTTGTTTATATAGATCCGCTATGAAATTATCTGGAAACTTGAATCCATATGTAATTGATAGTAAAATACATATATTTAGAAAGTATAACACACATACAATCCCTTTCATAGTTAGTTAGTGCATGATAAAACAAAGCGGTATTTCTAATGTACCTGTCTACTTCTATCATCATGTAGTTTAAAAAAGGACTTTCTAAATCTCAATAATGTACATTATCCCAAATGGTGAACGTCAATGTGATTCTGGCTAAAGTGTTGAGTCGGTATGTTTTCCTTTTTGATAAATTCAACTATCTCTCGAGGTCTTGCTCAATGTTAATGAAAACAGGTATTCCCTAACTATTATCGTTCGGGCAACACGCGTCCATTCCGAGAAAGGTCGGTGAGAAAGGGAGGTAATAAGTCCATTTCCACTTTCGTATGTAATTCATACCAATCGGCAGGTCATAGGTCCTCAAGGTCATTGTATTATTATTATCATCGCCAGCAGCATCTTCTCCACCGTCTTCAAACACTTCCCGCCAGGCAAATATCCCTCGTTCCTCCGCAGTACCTGATTTCATGAAGAAACATAGCTATTTTGTCAATATGCATCATGTATTTTTTGGTATGTAAATGTCACCATATCACATGAATACTCAAGGTATTGATACTCTTATACCAACGACATTTAGCTTTAAAATAATCTGAATATGATACTGCAATATGATAGGTTGTTTACGTACGAGAGGCTGTCCTTTGAATCTTTTGTTAGCCTGAATAAATTTACCACTAAATTTCTATAGAAATAAAAATAGTTTTAATTATTACATAACATTTCTTTTTTAAAAATCGTCCTCCGGATTTGGCGTTATCATGATTTGAGCCACTACGCAAGATACTGATAAACAATTTTTGCCTACCGGGCATAAGGTTATCCAGAATAACCGCTGTAAAACAGGCCATGAAAATGTTGTTTCCTAGTAAGGCTGTGATGACCTGTCGAGGTCCGGATGCAACTACAGGTACACATCAGACAACTTTTAATTTCAAAACACATTTAATATCAAGCTATATATATATATGTATATATAGTTTATAAATATGTAAATACACGATTATTTTAGGTCACAAAGTATGTTTTGACTAAATGTCTTTCGTGACAAACAGCATAAGCATAGTGTTTTAAAGTGTTTCGAATACATCATACATTGCAAGCGACATTCGTATTAATCCACTAGTAGGCAAATCGACAAACATTATTAGAATGATAAATCTAGATATTAATTATACACATTCTATGTATTCAATGAGTAACAAACTAGATTAATTCATGCATATGATAGAAAATGTAGTACAATTACATAGCACCCGCAAAGCCAACCACAAATGTCAAATAATTATGCATTAGCAAGGTGATATTCTTTTTATGGGGCTGTAAGAAGAGAGTCGGTCATTAATGTATTACTAGGGTTCGGAGGTTTATAAATGTATATCCGGTTGAGTAACTTACGTTGTAGAAATAAATCCTGATTGTCTGTTAACCACTGTGGTAAGGCCAATCCAACAAATAAGGACATGCCTAACACTATCATGTTTCTTGGAGAGTTAAGGTCGACGTATTGTAGATTGGACCCTCCAACAGCAGTTAATACAGCTAAGAAGTAAACGAGAATAACATATTAATCTTCTGAATTGTTTCTTCTATATATCTAGTAGTAAAAAATAGAAGTAAAATAGTATTTCATCGAATAGTCAGCTCTTTACATTTATTTATGTAGATTGTACAAAAGACACACAAGTGAATGGCACCTTTTCATAATTTAGAGTGAGATACAGTAGAGTCAATATGGTGTTGCAACTAAGACATCGCTGTGAATGGAAACATTTTGGAACATGATCTTACTTCAATGTAAATGGATGTATTTAACCCCTGTATTATTAATTAGGTTTCGTGTATCTAACTTAACTCATGCCTAAAAGTAAAAGTCTCTTGTGATACATTACCAAACAGGACAATGAAAGCAGCTCCGATTATCGGGTCTGGCACAGTAACAACAAACGCACTCATCTTACTGAAGCAGCCAAAAAACATGAGCATTAGTCCAGCGACGAGCACTACCCGACGGCTTCCAACCTACAAGTGTACACACTGCTATAAGTTCACAACGTCAATCATTACAAAGCTTTATGAGTCTTTTTTGTAATCTATTGTTCTCAATTAAGATGTATTTCACAAGTTTCAGACTAATTATAAAAGAAAAAACCTTAGCTATTATCAGATAGTGTGTTATTTTATATTATCATAGTTGGAGGTTTGTTCTGAGTGACAAAATGATGCCACAAACTGTGTGAGCAGCTAAATTGTTCTAAATTTATTATTTTCTTTATGGAAAGTCATTCGGTCACTACCGGTAGGTCTAAACGCCAGGTAAATATGCGCATAACAACAAATCACTTTATTTCCGACTGTCAAAATATCAACAGAAGCTCGCTAGAAATCAGTTTTCTTAAAAGACATGGTAATTGCATCCAATTTTCTCATTAACATCCTTAATCAAAGGAAATCAAGCTTATATTGTACAGTCGCTGTCAATGTTTATAATCTGTCTACTGAGTACCAGTGAACTAGTTGGCATTATTTCAGCCGACGGTTGTGTGTAATCCAATTTAATGTAAAGCAAGACATCAGCACCCCCAACAAGTGTCATTAACCATTTTTAATTTTTAATATTGGCTCATCCCTAGTTATTTTTAAGTCAAATACACACCGGATATATGCTTATCTAAATGGCCAACGTCATGATACATTAACATTGAAGAATGTGGGATTATGACATAAACAAGAAACATAAGTCAGCATATACGGACAAACATTGAATAGACTAACGACTTTACTGCATGTTCTAGAAACGAATGACGTCAACTGAAACGTAATCTCGTATTTTATTCCATTGTGTTATAAGACCAGTTTACGTTTTACTAAATTAATGTCAAAAACAAATGCAAATAGTTTAAGTGTCGCACAGGTGGCATTGTTTACATGTCACTATAGAGTGTTTTATGTGTTTACAGAATTTAAAGAAGAAAACGTTCAGAAAGCAAACCTTGGTTAGACTTATAACGCCGATATTTTGACTACATGAGGTCACACCAAATCCAGATCCAACCAAAATAGCCAGGATACAATCGATACCTTCAAGCAGGATGCCTGTCATCAAAAACAATCAATTATCATTTATTAATTTATCAATTAATAGACTTATATACATATCAGCAAAAGTAGGATGTAAACTGCATCATACAGCAGTTTCGTCTTTCTGGGATCTAGTAGTGGTGAGAAGGATCCAAGTTGTAAAGAACAGATTGAGTGATGATCTAATCCAGTTATATTGATTTATAACGGAAGAACGATAAGACAATTCTGAACGTTTTCACAATTACAGTGAACTAAAACATGGTATCCCTGGTTTACATTAAACCATGGATAAGACCATTTTATGAAAACGTCTTTTGTTATATCTTTCTACAGAAAATAATTTCTGTTATGACAAAACGGGTATATAGTGATATGAAATTAGCCTCTATTACTTGCTTCTTGTCTGAGCTAATGATATCACAAAACTAACGAAACGTTGATTTCGAAGGTTAAACAAAAGTCTTCGTTTCTGACATAGCTGGTTTCAAAGCCATTAAAACCCGTCTCAAAAGTAAGGCCTCATATATATTAGGAGTTTTGTGGTATTGATAAGGAAACTGAAATACTTGGGATGATTATTTTCTGAGAACGGATTTGGAAATTCTAATTTCAACAAAATTTTCATGTGCTTGAATGCGTGTACTCTAAACATCTCAATTAGCAAACACAAATTTATCTATATAAGTAACTTTTTTCAGGATATGCTCATATCCGAGGTTGGCTTGCAAAGTGTATGTTTTTCCCCGGTCACAAGACATGTATTTTTACTTAAGAATATTATGAAGGAAAGGAACCCGAAGCAACAAATAACTGCTTGGATAGGTGAGCAGATTTGAAGAATACAAACCTCTGTTGACAGCGGAAGGTGGTGGGGGTACCGCCCCTGCTATACGTGCGCACGTGTAATAGTCTCCAATCGACTCTATGATAGAGGTTAACACACCTGCGATCATCCCCACGAACATGGCGGTATTAAACACAGGTAAACCAAACTTTCCTAAGAAATGGTACAAAAAGAGATATTGTATATTTACAAGCAAAAAGTATTTTTTTCTAAAATTCATTATATATGTATAGAGTAGTACATGAGTGTTTAAATGTTAAGCCCTTTATGAAACGAATTCAAGAATTTGAAATTTTAGCGAGTGTTTTAAGTGAAAAGTGAAAAAATGTAAGGGGTTAAATAAGTTCATTTCATCATTTGCACATCAGATGATAACGAATATTGTAAAGTGCAAATATTTCCACATAAAAATTATTTTGACTTTAAATATTTTGTCTCCATTGTAGCGTAGCAGCAAGTGCGTGAGCATCGCTTTTTAATTATCTAAATTTGACATCAAGCTGTGTTAAATTACACGTGTAGTATGTAAAAAGTTACATTCATCGAAAAACAAGGCAGGTTAGTCGAGATCCTGACATTGCGAAAACAACATGGTATTTGAAAAAGATTATCTGTTAGAGAGTTAAAAAAGGATACGTATATTAGTATATACACTTTAACGTAAGTAAGCAAGATTTTCGAAATTTTGCAATTTGGATACATGATATTGTTATGTTACGGTTCCGTGATTGTCGTTACCTCATATCACAGGTAGATTGTGGATGTATAGTCACCCGGTAACCATAGTGAAGGAAGGCATATTTACAAAAAGTGAATATCTACAGTTTTTGTATCAAAACCGAGATGATATCGTCCCGAGTATTTCTCGAATAGTTATTTTTCACAACATCTATATAAATAGATTACTTGTCTCTCCTCGTTTTTTTTTATTAAAATAACTTATATGGGAAATTATTGCGCATTATCGCGTAACGAATGTTCTGTCTTTTGTCAGTATAATGTGACCTTGTTGGGGTGCCCTGCGACAGGAGGCACTATCGAGTAGTCATCAGTTTATTTTGACACGTTAAGTAAATATTACACATTTAATTTAATTTTCAGAAATAAGAATATATATACTACGAACTAATTGGTTGAATTTCAAGTAATTCCTACCTGGATAAGGAAAAGAGAACCAAGGGGCCACGCGTAAAAAATCCGTTCGGAGATCTGTCCTCGCCTCATAACCGTAAACTGTTTCGTCTTCTGGGAAAACGTTTGTAACAGTCAGGATATGGCATAACAACCACATCACACATACGGAAATGATTACCTAGTAAATAGCAATTGGATATGATTAGTAGGTATGAAACAATACATATAGGTATTACATTAAAAATTTAAAACATGAGGTACACAATGGAATTTGCAGAGCAAAAACAAAAACAAAAACCCCAAAAAAATTAAAAAAAAAACCATAGTCCAACTGAAATTCAATAAAACTAGAGCAAATTATAAACAAAAGAGCAAAATTCACTCCTGAAAAAGTACAAGTATAATATAACCAGATGTTTTGGAAAGTAAGCGTCTTCTGCGACACCCACTATGTAAACCGTGGTCAATTCAAGTAAATAATGTTACGCTCTCAAATGAGAGCAATGTGTACAACAACAGAACAACAGGCCAACAAACATCATGAAAATGGTGATAATGGGTACAAACCCTTGAATATCGAATCAACTACGGCATATAAACACAAGAGGTTGGGGAGAAAGGAATGTTGCTATCCTGAAATGGAAAATTCACACTAGGGAAATTGTCAAGTTTATCATACATCTTTGTGGAAAGCTGTCCATGTTGGTTTCGTTGTTGGAAAAGACCGAAACAAGCAGCTGATGTAGAAGAGACTGTCGTGTCTTTGATTTCCGATTCTACTAGATATATACAATAGACGTGGACAATAAATTCCATGTTATTTAATGACAAAACTTTGCAAGGTCTTTGTGACCTGTTCTGATAAGCTCTTCAATAGGTTTAGCCAAGTTTGAAAACAAAAACAAGTCAGGCAACAGAGGGGCACAGTTCGTTCCCATAGGTATGCCAATAGCCTATTGGAAGATCTTACCACCAAACTTGGCTAGAATTTCATCCTCCCTATATTTCTCTTTTTCATTTGGACATATGGAGTATAGCTCAAAACCATATATTTATACCATTGTTCAATTTTTCTGTGAGGAGAATGGTTATATAACAAGAGCACGAAGGCGTTCCTCCAGTTTAAAATGGAGTATGGTGATGTACAGGATGGAAAAATCTAATGTTTTAACGATATTTATAATGGTATTTCCGGTTAACGTAAGAACTAGAATTAATAACATGAACACACTAAATTTTCATCTTGTTAATTAGTAAAAGTAAGCACAGGGATGTAGATCCCGTTGTTGTATACATTCTTCTCATTTCAGAACGTGACATTAAGTACTTAGATTGGCCAACATTTACATGGTGGGTGTCGTCGATGAATCAAGACTCTTCCGGAACATCTTGTCTTATTCTTCATGTAAATTTCTTTTGTCCATATTTTGCCCTGGATTTTATGGAATTTTAGTTTGAATTATTATTTATGCCATGTTGGTGTTTTTTTTGTTTTTTGTTTTTTGTTTTTTTTTAGATAAGGCGTCACGTTTTAAATTTCAATTTCAGATTTACGGAAAATACAACATTTATTGAATGATGTTTGGGGTAGTGTACATCTCGAACTTAACAATTCTTTTGATCAATTGAGATTTTCTTTAGTCGCTTCCAAGGTTTTAAAATTTGAGCCCACAGTCTCAATGACTAGTTCAAGATTGAAGAAACAGTTGCGTGATTCAGTTCTAATTTCAATATGCGTCTATTGTAGGTGTTCATGACATTATAGCTAAATTATAATTCAAGCCTGCCTCATACAGCTGTGTTGTCCTTCTAAGCCTTGTGAAGCAAAGTGACTTAAAGGTTGAAATTAAAGAGGTGAAAAATCTTAGTTGGTCGAAAAATGTCAAAACATGATGAGGAGATGCACTATGTCGTGGTCTAGATATACACAATTAGTAAATTACTGTCAACACGATCAAATCTTTTCATCACCCTTACTGTCATATACAACCACTTTTTCCGTTTAGATAGATTGCAGATTCCATTTTGTATGATTGCAGTAAGACACCTAGCTTTAAATGTTTGTGAACCAAACATCGACTCCCTTTTTATCAACTTACCGAGAACATTTTGTGAAAGACTACATTTGTTTTGGCCGGGCACATCTTGCATCTGCATGGCACTTTCATAGAGAATGATGGTATACATTCAGATAATAACACGATGAGTATGATCGTTCTGAAAAAAAAATCATTTATTTTTGAAAAGTCATACAACACTTGGTTACCCGACCTCTTTTCTGTCCCATACTTGCTCCAATAGCAAGTGTAACAACACAATGCGGGTGGTCTGAAAGCGTGTTTACTATAAACATAATAAATGAATAAAATCGGTAACTCTAACCAAAACACAGTAATGAGAGCGTAAACCAAATCGCATAGATACACCTTCAAATGAAACAGGACTAAGACATTGTGACGTCATCCGACAAACAGTGTGTATGTATCAAGGTCAAACTCAACGCTTTCAAAATATGTTAACTATAATGTTGAATTACCGGACATGCAATACTCTATATCATTATAGTACTTGCCCTAGCCCAATACCCCAATGTTTTCCCGCTAGCTCAAAGCCAAGCTTTGTGACTCCAAGTCCAATCATCATGATAGTTGGGGCGACTGTGAGTGGTCCAATAAATCGCAGTAAAATGTTTATAATACCACTTGCTCCAATAATGATTTCCACTACGGCTGCCACTATACCAGACCCTGCCAGCTGCAACAACACGAAAAACACACATTTCAACGTGATATTAAATGTATCTTTACTTCAATTTTCAACGATGTCGAAATAATTACATTCAAAGTCAAGCCTGACCATAAAATCCACTCAAGTGGCCTGGTACACAAGTGACCTTTATACAGAGGTTCAATCGCCGAGGATTTGCTTTACAAAAATACCAAAGAAGACAGCTGGCTTTTAAATAAAAAAAAAACTTAAACGAGTTTGCCTATGTTGGCTTAAAATATTGGTTCCTGAGTGATTTCGATAAAGTTAACATAACAACCGTTAGATGGTAATTGCAACCAAATTTCATCACAGAAACGTTCGAAGTAATTGTAGTTAATAATAGACATTCATTTTCATTGATTTTGTACAATGGATATAAAAATAAATTCAGAAAAAATGTCTTTTATACTTTATACTTTTATGAATACGGAAATAGGTAAATCAGAAAAAAAAATCAAATACAACTTTATAACTGAATTCTTAGTCTTATATACGATATGTTTTGCATATAACAAAGCATTTTAACGTGTGTGTCTATGCTTTTTACGTTCAAATATCTTAATTACAGGTTTTGATAGTTTGAGGATAATTAACAATTTGATAACAATTTGACACTTTACCATATTCAAACGTGTTGTCCAGTACACTTCCTCTGACAGTAGATTATTGGCTGGAATAAATTAGGTCAATTTATTGGTCTTAATTATTTTGTGTATAACATTTAAATAAATTAACGTGTCAAGAAATATATTATACTAAAAGGCTTTTGATATTGTATTCAGTTCTTAGATACTATGCAGATTATGCATCAGATGTCATACCTTGACAGAATTGTTAAAAATAATAACCAATGTGGAAAGTAATATTTTCTACTCTTATTACAGCAAAATTCTTACCACCAGCAGTAGAGTTAGCAACAGCGGCAAAATCTGGACATGCGAATTCCTCTATCTCTATCATTGCTAACATTGGCACAACGTAAGCAAAAGCTGGACACTGGACAATCGGCAGTCTATAGAGAAATGATAAATACGGGTTCAGATGATCAGTAATCCAGCATTTAATGGCTTATGACTCATGTTTTTATTGTGTCTTTAGTATTCGAGATAATTGTAAAAGTTTATATAAAAATGTAATGGATATGTCGTCCAACTGGCAAACAAACCCTGTATGGCTTTACATAATGTCAGTTTAGTATTCCTGTTTATATTGCCTAGCCTTGGGAAAACAGACAAGTTGTCCTCACGAAAAGGTGGTATCGCTCTCAACTCAAGTCACATTAAAATGTAGTTACTAGTTTATTACCTTCACTCGACCTACTAGTTCATAATTGCGTCAATCATTTCACTTCCTAAGGAGACACCAGTAGCCAGGACCTATGAGGACAGGTGTATAGGGAGACACCAACAACCAGGGTCATATGAGAGCAGTTGCATAGGGAAATATCAGCTGCCAGGTCATTTTACAACAGGTGTAAAGGGAGACACCAACAGCCAGGGTCATAAAAAGGCTAACGTATAGGGAGACACCAACAGAAAGGGTCATGTGAGGACAAATTTATAGGAGAAACCAGCATGAAAGTTTTGTGAGGACAGTTGTAATAGAGACACCAACAATAAGGTCATAATATGACAGGTGTATAGGGAGACACTAGCAGAAGAAAACGATAGACAAAATGTAGAGAAGACAGGAAAGAAAAGAAACGGGGGCAGGAGGTCGATTTTGGCTTATCAATGTCCCCTTACTAGAGAAAAGATCACAAACGATTATGCAGGGGGACTCACAAAAGAGTCGTCTCTTACGACATGCAGCGAAATACAGCAGGCATTTTCTTTCCTGGCTACTTATAATTTGTATTAAAAGATGATATTTACTGTGTGTTTTATACAATTTTCTATATCACATATTGTTCACAAGGAATAGTTTAACAGTTCCCACTGGTTTAAAGATTATATTCCGTATTATTCTGTCATATGCAATCACTACTTGTACCAAATTAAACGTAAAGAACATTAATTTCTACGACCATTAGTTTTGTCTGATATTAAGCATAACCGGTGCACTATTAAAGACGTTAATAAATAAATCAATTAATAGTGTTGATTGAGGAAGCGATATACAAATTTACTGTATGCCAATAAATATTCGCACTTTTCGTCCATGAACAGGGAGGTCGAATTTAAGATGGGGAAAATTGTTACGTTTCTTATGTTTCTCACTTATGCAATCCCCAGGCGGCGAAATGAAGATGAGGCAAACTCGTGTTAAATGGTAAATGGAAGAAAGCGTCACGGTATATAGTTACAAGGATAAATGTTTAGAGTGCCCTCACCTGCTTCCAAACAAGGTCTGTAAAACAGTTCCTAAGCCACATGCGAACAACATGTTTCCCATCAGAGTCGATGTCACATGTTTGTTTCCAGCAGCACACATAATTGTGGCAAAAATTGCCGGCGTGGCAAGGTTGGAGCTCAACAGCATTAAGTAGTGCTTAAATAGAAGAAAGATGTTGATTTCAAGACAGTTTTATGTTTGATATCGTGATAGTCGGTAAGTTTGTCTCCCGGAGCATTACATTTTATTTCAAACGATTGATTATAGTAATGCTACGTATCGGCGACCTTGAATCCATTAAAACCCGGTATAAGAATTAGGGATTTTTTTTATTTCTAAGTATTCATAATGAATATAATTTATGATATCTCCCAGTTATCTGAATTATATATTAAGGACTATCGACATAAGTAATATTTTCAAGTGTGTTTTCGTCATCAAAGTCTGTATACATAATTACGGGAGGGCATTACGCTACCATTACCATACAAGTACACGAATTTGTGAACACTTTTCTTTAAATTATTGATCATATATTGACAGCTCGCATCCTTCTTTAATACAGAAATCTAATTGCAATGGTATCTTAAGGCAAAGTCACTGATGTCATTCACTTAATAAAAGCTAAACAGCAAACTAAATACATTTCTACAATCAAATCTTAAAAAATTTATGATAGGGAGACACAGATACCAGGTACAGTCCATTTTATCATATAATAAGTAGACATAGAAAAAAATCAAACTTGTAGTAATAGTACAGTGGTCACATGTTACCGAGCAATATCTTAACATGTAATGATTATATATACTTTATGTAAATTTATTACAATATGACCGGAACATGGAAACCGTACACAAATTAAGTACTAAATGATAGCAAACTCAGAAAATGTATGTAATTTCAGTTCTTTACGACCAGTTACCAAAACGTTATACGCAAATTTAGTACAAAATGACGGAACATGGAAACCGTACACAGATTAAGTACTTAATGATCATTAACCTAGAAACTGTACACAAATTAGTGATCACATACCTGGAAACCCAGCAGTATCGTTGTATGCCATGGTGGACAGTCATCTACTTTGTATTGTAAGCCTGTCAATATCAGTGGAGAGGTGCGGGTTTCTTTCAGGTTCACCTTCCTGGTATCATCCTATGAAAACAATACAACATTTATAATGGAAATGCTGAAAGGATAAATATGTAATGTTTGATACTATAATCCTTTTTACCTGCTTCTCCTGATGAAATGGCGGCTCAATCAGCCCGTAATATTCAGACAGCTCCTTGGTCATCATTCGATCTTAAATTGTCAACTAAGTTATACAGATCGATGTTAACTCTTAATAACGATCCTTATCAACTAATGTGTACGTTAATGTATTCAAAACCAGCAGCTATGATATAGATTACTCAGAATTGATATATGCTCAGCAACGACACTAGATGATAATTACTAACTCGATACAGTTTAAATATGTAGAACATAGATGCTCTGTGCCCAGTGGAAAACATCACACAATAAACAGGTATCATAACACGACATCTGATATCGAAGAGGAAGTTGCACTCTAATAGAATAATATTTAGTGCGTAAACACTGCCCGCCTACAGAAGTCATCTGTAAACACAGTCTCTATCTTATTTGGTGTAGTTAACCCAAAAACGACTATAAAGATATATCAAATAGATAGGGAGATCTACATGATAGCAGACCTTATGTTATCATTATTTCTAGAATGTAAGAAAGGACATTGACTTATTGTAGAATATATCGGCCATGGAATTGGGGTATGGGGTAATACAAAATATAGTATATTTCAAAGAAAAAACTTAACCTAACAAATAAAACACTTCGTTGTAACATTCGGTATGTTATGCCAGGTATTTTACACCATTATCAAGATTAACGTTCCTGATGTGCTCTTGTGTGAACGGATTTATATGCTGTCAGTTTCAGACCACTGAACAGAAAATCGTACTACTATACACAATGATTAGCAAACTGCAATGACGAAATGTAGAGTATACCGACATGCCTTCACTGGTGAGTTTCGTTGGTCATATCAATTACTGGTTAGTACATCATGGATATAACACGGGAAATAGTTGGCAAAACCATGGAAAAACAGAGGACAATTACTAACATCATTTGCTCTTCCTAGCTAAAATTGTTTAATTAGTCTCAAGTGACAACGAAGGTTGAACTTGTCCACAGTTGCTCAAAACGTGCCTGATGGTCCCGTTGTTGTAACCTTGATCTCACGTGGGAGCATGACATTGCATACTTGGATTTAGAAAGGTGAACAGGAGAAAACGTTTATCCTTCCCTAAACACTTGGTCTTATTTTTCTTGTACTGTTTCATGAGTCTCCGCGTTGAATTTGAGTTTGGATTATAATTATGTTGACGTGGAGATAAGTGAAGACTTCAGGCATAAATACCCCGCGATTTCATAGTGCATTTCAATGCTGAAAAGCTTTTTGAAAAAAAAAAAAAAAAAAAACAGGAAAGAAAAAAGTCGAATAATTTGAAAATGAATATTACCTTGACATGAAACAGTAATGATTTGAAAAAAAAAAGAAAATTTGTTTGCTTTTCCGTCCAATCAGGTTGATATGATGCCCTCCAAGATCCAAGTCCGTGCGATGTCGTGGTTCACAGGTGACTACTGTTCGATAAAATAATTAATCAAATTACACATCTCGAAGGAATTAATGCTAAGTGCCGGTATTATGTCATTGAAAGGGCGAGTCAGAATACATCTCTGATTTAGATATTGCAATGTGTGTAAAATGTCATTCATGTGCAATGATGTTTGTTTGGTTGTTCTTTTTTGGGGCTTTTTTTCTACATTTCTCTTGGCTTTTTTATGTGCATATTTAATATATCTAAAACTGGAAGTAACACTTTTTTTATGCTTGTTGCATCGGTAACAGATTCGTCCTTATCATCGACACCAACCGAGGGAACTTGAGTAAAAATAGAATAGAAAGGAAGTGAAAAATGGACCCAGATCAAAAGATCAATTTTTGTTTTTTCAATACCCGCCGATCGATAATCATTACATTAAAAACTGGGAATCATATGTGGTTGTTATTATTGATGTACCATTTGACTGTATCAAATACATAAAAATTGGTCTACAATTCGTGATCAATATATTCATAATTACATTGACATCAATTGGATCTGTAGGATCATTAAAAACATAAAAACGCTGACATATAAAAGCAACACCAACAAAAACAAGACAAACAAACAAACAAAATGATAATAATGATAATTAAAACCAAACAACCAAAATTAGAAACAAAAGAAATAATTGAAAAATAAATTCTCTGCTTGTTACAAGATAATCCTAATCTTGTAACATGATCAACAATTAATTGACGATAGAAAAGTTACATGATAAGAATATACACGGCGGGAGGAGTTATTTCCCTTCAAACATTCATGGTCAACCATTAAATGACGATAGAAAAGTTACATTATAAGAATATACACGGCGGGAGGAGTTATTTCCCTTCAATCATTCCTGCTTGGCGATAGAAAATTTAGAAAATGTTAAGACTATATTGTAATATGAAGACATGTGATCAATGGGGTAATAGCGGCCAGGAGAATTTTCAAATTTTCGTGGCAACCTGCCTCTTTATCAAGACACAATTTTTACATGAATCAAAAACATAGATCATAAATCAAAGTTATAAACCCAAATCGAGAGGTGTAACTTAAGGTGTTTCGATAATCCCTTCGCCAAATGGACGCTGAAGCCCCATGATAGCGGACAAAAAAAAACCCCAAGTTGTTGTATGTAAGATGGTGATAAAAATATCAAATATGTTTTATATAAATTTAGGTATGTTTTGTATTCTAGACACTGAGCATAAATGTGATCGCAATGAAAACAATTGCACGCCACACTCCGAGGACAGTGACTAGTCTACCAGTACATTTCGGCCACGTTCTAAATGAGGAATTATTTGATTAAAGATAAGAAAGTTTACTGTAAAAATGTTTAATGTATGTGTAGTTTCAATAAAAAGTTATTTGATAAAAAACACTAGTTAAATGAAAAAAATATATCTACATAAAAGATATAATTTTGAACATCGTCAAATATTCCGCAAAATCGTCAACTCGCCCAAAGAAAAGCCGCCCCATAAAATTCTTCCGGACGAGAGTTAATAAACGGTGCAATCTAGAAAAAAAGGAAGGAAAGCTGATGTAGTAACTAAATAAAGATATTTCTTTTTTTGAAGGAGACGGATAAGTGGGTGGTATTATACTAGTCTCATTTGTAGCTTGCGATGTACCGGCTGCCAGGAATGATTGACCGGACCTATATGTAGTAGCAAGATCATCTCTCGTTCATGCCGAGTGGGTAGCAGCGTTGGAGTTGGTTGATCCAATGTCGTTCCTTACTGACGAGTTGCTGTTCACCACAACCCCTGTGGTGGTCAATGGGTACCACCTGCATGTCATGCCACGAATGATTTGGCATGCTGAAATGTCTTGCTACAGGCAGATCCGGGCGTTTCTATTTGATAGAACATCGGTGATTGTTGGCCCTGATATAAAGTGGTAATTTGGTCCCCCAAGCAGTTTTCATAAATCAGATGATTTCAAAAGAACGTCATGTACTTGTGTATACTGTGAACTGTCCCGTGAATTCAAACGTTGCACGCAGGATACAGCAACCCTCGGGGGTTCAAAGTCTACCAACAGTATCTACGGCGTACTGTCTCGAGGATTACAATATAGACATACAGGTGAATAAATTTGGAATCAGACACAACCGTGTATACTACATTTAACTGTTTAATAGAAAAGACACGCAAGTGAATAGAACTTCTTCAAACATGTAGACTTAGATACTGTAATGTATAATGACTGTTTCGTCCGTCAGGTATGAAACAGAGTCTGGTTAATAACAATTAAACTATTCGAAAAGCAAATGGACATCTCATATATTTAACTAAATGTCACAAATGAACATCTCATACATTTAATTTAATATCACAATCGAACATATACATTGAACTTAATATCACAAACGAACATCTCATACATTGAACTTGATATCACAAATGAACATCTCATACAGTTAACTTAATATCACAAATGAACATATCATACCTTAAACTGAATATCGCAAACTAATCGCACATACTGTTATGTTTTTTCATAGTGAAAACGAGTTTTACAATTCTCATATGAAATAGAAGTTACTGTAAACTTCATTTAATCACATTAAAATGATGGCAATGGTATGTCTCAGAGGACGACACCAATGTATAATGCATGATGTAAGTCAAGTGTTAAGAATATAGTATCTTATTCCAACTTTATTATGAAGGATGTTATTTGCGTTTACATAGCCGTCGAGATTGGGGGTAGTAGACAATGTTGGTTGACTTCAGTTTCCGAGTTTTGTCGTGAAATGAATTATTCGTTTTCATTCATTCCTAAAGCGGCACATCTCAGAAACTTAACATGTAATGAACTTTATTTCTGAAATCAGTAAATATATATAATAGGAAATTTGAGAAGATCGTTGAATCATTCGGTTTGATCCTACAATGTTTCAATCTTAAGGCCCTTAGTATCTCTTTAAAATAACACCATGCAGCTTATTTCATCATTTGTATATCATGTACACTATTCTGACTTTGTATTGAAATGTGCTTTTCATATCTGTGGCTTGTACAAATTCCAAGCATCTTATCAGGCCGATGCAAATGCGAAGCAATGCAAATGACGTCATAAATATTTGATATCACCATAGAAACTATGAGCATATTCAGCCAATCAAAGATCTGCAAGGTCGTATTATACTTGTGCAATACCAATAGCGTATGAAAAGGACGTTGTTAAGCTGATTTAAGATTTTTTTGTTTTTCAGTATTTCATTTGAAATATTTAGATGTTTTACAATGTAGCTACAATGCAAAGTAATACAAAAGACATACATAGCAACTTTCAATAAAAATGTGAAGTTTCCAGCATTGCTGATTTCCCGAAGAGGTAGGTCTAAAGATATTTTCATCCTTCAAGACTACTCAACGATACATTGCTTTGTGCCATCAAAGCCGGTTCCCTTGACTTTATATTTAATCCAAATTAATCGATGACGCATTTGCCTAATTAACTAATTACGTAACTTTGTTACTAAACTATAAACGCCGATTTTCACATAGCAGACACAAAATGATTGATTATCTAAGCGGAACAATTGGCTAAAATACCAAAAAAAAAAAAAAAAACACTAAAACAGTAATAATACCGACAATATCATTTCCTTTTAAGCATTTTGTGAGAAAAGTCCATTTTTTGTGACCAAATTACAATTTGAATGTCTTCCATATTCACTCAATTAATAATCCTTTAGCATATAGATAGCTTTATCTCTTAACCTAACCCTGTCCGAAGAACGAAACTTCATCATGTACAAAGTGTATCACTCCAACGACTTGTTTGAACAATAGTAGACATAGGAGACCACCCTCTTACACTCCAAACCTTTGTGTACACATGTTCCTTTCCTAATACATAACAACCCCTATTACACATAAAAGTAATGCCGACATGTCCTTGAATGGCAATATCTGTCAAATATAATCAGGACATTAAACAGAATATATTATATGACCAATAATGAAATCTTCCCACAATATATTATATACCACATATACGTCAATATCATCAATTCTTCTTTTGACTTTACTTTCCAAATTTTCTACTAAAACGGAGACTTTAATCATCTAATACAGTACCGTTTTCACAATGGGAGGTAGATGTGTAAGTACGGATTGTAAAATTGTCTTCAGGAGAGACATTCAAACCCGGAAATCTTCTAGAAATATAAGACTTCCTCAGCACAATTGGTTGTTTGATGTTTTAAAAGCAGATGACATTAAGTTTACTTATGATCTAGAGATTGGTATGAGAGGTAGATTTCGTACGGGTTGTAAAGTTGTCTTTTGGAGAGACATTAAAGCCAAGACATCTGCTAGAAATATAAGGCTTCCCCAGCACAATTGGTTGTTTAATGTTCTAAAAGCAGATGGCAATAACTTTACTGGTGATCAAGAGATTGGTATGTATGCTTAGTGTTTTAAGAATCATCAGATAAGAAAGCCACAATCTGGAGGTCAAAACGTTGGTGTTGATGATGATACGTGGCGAAACAACCCACTATTTCCCATAGAGGGTCTATAATACGGTCAGTCTTCCGACGCAAACTGCACACTATGACTGAATAGTTTCAATCAAATCTTGACCATATTGCCCGAGCTCAAAAATCAACACTTCATCACAAGGTGTGGCGTCCTTGTTGTAATGAAAGATTTTAACCCTAACGTTGAAATCCACACTGATGAAAGAGAAATGTTGACTTTTCAGCTACCTTCCAGATCAAAGGAAATCATCAATGATCTTTTGATGATAACACAAATCCTATCAAAGCAAAAGTCTTTTGTTACTCTGCGTTCCTCCTCCTGGATGACTCAGATTGTAAAGGTTGGACTGGATGAACAAGAACACAGTTTCTAAAAATTCCTTCGTATTTGTTCATCCTCTATTGGCACTGGTATTTACACTGCAGACCACGAAGATGCACTACTGTTGTTCTGGGTATACAACGAAGACGGGGATATCATGGAAACAATGCTCAACTCTTTAACACGTCAATTTCCAATATATCGAAAACATTTCATTCCATCGTAAAAGCATTAGAAATAACAGTTTTTCCTTTGTTCCTTGGACAGGAACATCTTACAGGAGAAAACATTCTTGAACACAACACTGTGTTCTCTGGAACATTTCTTGGCCAGCAGGCGACTGTCATACTTGACGGTACGTATATATCTTTATTCCTAAGAGTTCTGATCACAAGCTCCAGATAATCTCCTACTGTGGTCAGGAGAAGCGGAACTACTTGAAGTCCGTGAGCATAGCCCTACTTCCCTGTCTGATGGTTACATTGTGGACACAGTAGGACATTTTCGTGGAAGCGATAATGATGTGAAGATTACAAAAGCCACCATGGATAACCTCTCCTGACTAAAGAAAGATGACAATATCGTTGTTAATCGAGGGTTTAGGGATGTTTTTACCTCATTTGGAATCAAATGTTTTGACAACAAATATGTCGTCTTATCTAAAACCTGGGCGGACTCAACATGACGACCTACAAGCTTACAACCACGATAGATCCATAACTAAATCTGTATGGGTAATAGAGTCACACCACAGACGATTCAAGCAATGGGTGTTTTTTTTAAACACAATCAGTAACCTTTGCATCCAAAACTTACAAAAGGTTTAAGACAAACCTCAAATAGTATAGTCATTATATATGGTCAACTTGGACAATTAGAACTACATTATTGTACGATATAGATCAACACTAACATGGCCAATCAGATTCTAGGACGAAGAAGCCATATTGGATTTCAGATTATAATGTTTAATGTGTAAACCAACTTAAATCATTTTGCTTTCTTGTTAAAATATTGATTCAGCAGTTGTAAGAACATTTAATTTTTGTGGTTATCAGGGAACATGACGGCCATTTTGAAAGTTGGAATTTCACTTTGGTGGCTTATTATTGTAGCTGACAGTCACTTTGTATTAATGAAATAATAGTGAACATTTCATTTCAGTTCACTTTACAATGCTTCAATCCAAAACAGACTTGGCCCTTTGTTTTCTTAAAAATACATAACAATGTTGTTAATCAACTTAAATTACTTTCTACAAAACTCCTAATTACTCTTTTCTGGCAATTCATTGTACACTGTTTGACGGTGTTTTAGCAGATAATTATGAATGGACTCCAACAGGAAGTTGTACTTTTGACTTTCAGAAAATTTCGCTGAATGTAAAGAGAACATGTTCTTTCTCAGAACACATCACATTTTTATCTCCTAATCCCAAGGTATTCAAAACTGTGACTTCATGCTTAGCATATATAATATCTAACATATTATTTCCAGCTTGTTTAGGTTTAGTTTTCTTTCAAAAAATAAGAAAATGATATTGTAGCATTTTCCCCAAAAATCATACATATAAAAAAATACTTTTTGAGAACAAAAAAGCTCTATGTTCTTGCTTATGTACATGTTCTAGACTCAAACGCCTATTTGTAAACGTAGGACTACAGAGACTACCCATAATACATACAAGCTGTTGTATTAGCTTTTTAGGCCATTTTGAAACTCCACTTTTGTTGAAGTATGAGGGCTGATGCACCTCCTCATTTTTTTGTTTACTTTTCTTTCGATAACTTTAGATTTACATGAATATCCTCCTAGGCTTCAGAATTTAGCCCCTTACATCAATGAAGAGTCCTAAAAGGACGAAACAGCTGTATGATAAAGGTTGATTTATTGATTTAAGGTGTTATTCACGTCTGTGTTTTGTATAAGCTTAAAATTCGGTCGTGTTTATAATAAAACAGTAGCTATTTCAACAGTGTACCCCAATGCGTCCAATACTGTCCCGAATACTCAGTGTTATCGATGGGATCTTAAACCCCTGACAAGGTTAACACGTGACTTTGTATCAATATTGTTGCTTTCTTACACTTCATACAGTTTTGTCATATTTGCAACAAGCAGCATGCCAGGTAGAATGACCCAATGCGTTTAGTAATACGGAAAACTTTAAAATGTATTTACACTATCGTCCCTGAAGGTCTTTCCAGCTCTGAATCTGAAATAAAATCTTCAAATTTAAGAATTCCAAGAAGATCCTAAACTATTGATAATGCAAGTTTAAAAAAATTATTTACCTATAAAATCTGAGAAATATATCTATCCATGGGTAGTTTTATTCTGATCCGTTAAAAAACTCACATTAAACTACAGACGATTTTGACAATGAACAATTTCGAAATATTTATCTTGATAAATCAAGTACGGTTTTCCTCATTGGTTGCTATGGTGTTCTGTGGCGGTTTTAAACACATGCTCCTCCGATTTTCAAATGTTCTCGTATGACAATGATGTATTATTTTAACACGCTTAGTATACCACTATAACGTCTTGTGATCGTTTAAACGTAGCTCGTTTCTCTTTTCTCGGGCACCGAGGTGAAATTTTTTGTTTCAATAGACACCGGTATTGGATATGCCTGCTTAAACAACCAGTAATGGGTATTTCTAGTTGTCGTATTTTTCCAACCGGTCTTATTGAGTTATTTTCTACTCAAAGTAAATCAATATCCCTTCATTAAACATTCAAGTGTGTAAACACGCCATCGCTTGTAGTGGACCGTAACGGCTTGATATTCATTCATAACTAGTGGTACTTGATAAAACTAATACACAATAAATATTTGATGATTAGACGAGGTTATCCGCCCGTAACTTCAATATAGAAAACTGCATGCTATATAACTAAATGCCAAAATATACAGAGAAATTCAAGAGTCTTTTTTCCGATTGTAACTTAAATAGTGTTGAAGATGAGTTCTTTCTATTGTAAAATACCTTTATTATTCTAAATTTAGAATGATATAATTACCTGATGTTATGAAAACGAAAGAAATAAAAAAAATTGGCTAAATGCATAAAATCATCTTCTGTTTTGAGAAACTAATAAATCTGATTGGCTGCTCTCTTCAGGTGTACTTAGTATTTTGTTTTTGTATAATTTAGTGACAGTGTTGATCGTGTGCATGTGTGTGTAGGTTATAAATACTGTTAAACAGGTCATGTTTTAGTTATAAACCGATGAGCTGATAGACTCAAGATTACTAGAGAACTTGAACTTACATATTCAAGGTCTTGCTCCCAATAAGACATTTCCCGTGTTAGATATTATCTGCTGATGGAAACGTTGAAAAAAGTTGTGAATGTTTCATTTTATGACATCATGGCCTCATTGTAAAATGTTCTAATTCCTTGTGCAATATGGCGCGTTGTATGTGTTTCACATTCAACTGCACACAGAACAAAAGAAAGTATGTTCTTACATGGATGTCTGTGTTCATGTCTTCACGGTTGAGTGGAGATTTACGTGCATAACCTTCCTATGTATAGCATATACAAACATATCAAAAGTTGACTTAGGAATATGAGTCATGTGATAGAACGTAACGGATATTCAAGGAAGGACGGAAAGAAATACAAAGAGCCTAAATAGCACGGGATGTGACGAATAGTAGAAAGTGTTTAAACGTGTATTAAAAGCAGTGTGTGCGTATGTGTATGTGTGTGAACATACATGTGTAACTGGGTTCTCTTGATATAGACATCACAAAAAAAGTAACTCATTAAAATCGCTTCTGATTCTCGCTCGTTTCCTAGCTATTTCAACCATCTTTCACAATTTTTTGACATTAACCGGCATTTTATTTTGAAAAAAACCCCAAGGGAATGGTGTTTAAAATGATCATATAATTTGTGTAATTTTTTTCTCCCTTTTTCAGTAGAGATGAGATACGTGTATTGACATAGAAAACCGAGGGTAACATACAAAGATACGTCTAATCCGAAGTTCTCTAGATCTAGAGACTCAAAAATAGCAAAAATGCGTGGCCAGCTACTAAACAACGATACAGTTGCATTTTGAATGTCCTTTGGGCGAAAAAGTTTACTCAATTTGATAGAGAGACATCAAAATGCTTTCTGGATGTTTGTACTTTACACTGTAAGTACACTTCCTTAGATATTTTCAAAATGTTCACAAATTCAAAGCTTTATAAGATTTGAAACGATACAAAATAATACCTACATTCGATTTTGGAGATCTGTCCAAAATATCTGTTCTAAATCTACAACGGTTTTGAAACACTTCATTCCGTAATGTACAGGCTGTTACATATATATATATATGTACGTTACGGCTTAGCGCTAGCCTACTGCGAATATTTAAACCGCTTCAACGGGTCGGACGAATGAGCGAATCTGAATCGGTAAACGATACTTATATATATCACACACACGTACACACATACATTTTCAAACCTACCTGGTCCAATTTTTGTTCAGTATTTTCCCCTACGGCACTATATTTGCGGTCTGCTTCCGAAATTTCTGTCTCCAGGAATGCTTGATTTGCTGTGCCCAAGTTATTTTTCCTTTCGGACGGAACATCTAAGCTTGAGAATTGCATATTTGTAATGGAAACTCCATTCGATGCAGACGCCATCTTCTCAGGTGGAGGTCTATTATCATACAAGTACTGTAGTTGTCGAATTTTTTCATGTTAATGTGTGTAAAGGAGCTTCGCCGAGCTTTTTCCTTTATGTACAAACAATAATTTTATGCGTCTACAGACTGTACGTGACCTTACCTGATAGTGCCAGGAGCACATTTTCAATTTCGATGTATTGAGTGCAGGTCTTACGACCCATAAATGCATTTTAAATACATCGTTTGAATATGAAACGACTAGTCTAAAATGAAAATTGAATTAATAATATACAGTTTTTATCTCCGTTGCTTCAAAAATAGATTTGCTGCCACGGATTAATTCCCTGTTACTACCAATACACAATATTTGTAAAAAACATTAATAGATTTCATTACTAATAATTTAAATATAACGACCTCATTGCCAGAAAAGAAGTTCTTGTAACACAACCCGTAGAGCATTAGACAAATGACCAGTGCGGAGGTACGACAGACAAATGACCAGTGTGGAGGGTACCACAGACAAATGACCAGTGTGGAGGGTACCACAGACAAATGACCAGTGTGGAGGGTACCACAGACAGATGACCAGTGGGGGAGGTACGACAGACAAATGACCAGTGTGGAGGGTACCACAGACAAATGACCAGTGAGGAGGTACTACAGACAAATAACCATTGTAGAGGTTACTACAGACAAATGACCAGTGTAGAGGTACTACAGACAAATGACCAGTGTGGAGGTACTACAGAGTAATGACCAGTGTGGAGGTACTACAGACAAATGACCAGTGTGGAGGTACTACAGACATATGACCAGTGTGAAGGGTACTACAGACAAATGACCAATGTGGAGGTAATACAGACAAATGACCAGTGTGGAGGGTAATACAGACAAATGACCAGTGTGGAGGTACTACAGAGTAATGACCATTGTGGAGGTACTACAGACAAATAACCATTGTAGAAGTTACTACAGACAAATGACCAGTGTGGAGGTACTACAGACAAATAACCATTGTAGAGGTTACTACAGACAAATGACCAGTGTGGAGGTACTACAGACAAATGACCAGTGTGGAAGTACTACAGAGTAATGACCAGTGTGGAGGTACTACAGACAAATAACCATAGTAGAGGTTACTACAGACAAATGACCAGTGTGGAGGTACTACAGACAAATGACCAGTGTGGAGGTACTACAGAGTAATGACCAGTGTGGAGGTACTACAGACAAATGACCAGTGTGGAGGTACTGCAGACAAATGACCAGTGTCGAAGGTACTACAGACAAATGACCAGTGTGGAGGTACTACAGAGTAATGACCAGTGTGGAGGGTACTACATACAACTGACCAGTGTACAGGTACTACAGAGTAATGACCAGTGTGGAGGGTACTACATACAACTGACCAGTATGGAGGTACTGCAGACAAATGACCAATGTGGAGGTACTACAGACAAATGACCAGTGTGGAGGTACTACAGAGTAATGACCAGTGTGGAGGGAATTACATACAACTGACCAGTGTACAGGTACTACAGAGTAATGACCAGTGTGGAGGGTACTACAGACAAATGACCAGCGTGGATGTACTACAGACAAATGACCAGTGTGGAGGGTACCACATACAAATGACAAGTGTGGGAGTACTACAGAAAAACGACCAGTGTAGAGGGTACTACAGACACATGACCAGTGTGGAGGTACTACAGACAAATGACCAGTGTGGAGGTACTACAGACAAATAACCATTGTAGAAGTTACTACAGACAAATGACCAGTGTGGAGGTACTACAGACAAATAACCATTGTAGAGGTTACTACAGACAAATGACCAGTGTGGAGGTACTACAGACAAATGACCAGTGTGGAGGTACTACAGACAAATGACCAGTGTGGATGTACTACAGACAAATGACCAGTGTGGAGGTACTATAGACAAATGACCAGTGTGGAGGTACTACAGACAAATGACCAGTGTGGAGGTACTACAGACAAATGACCAGTGTGGAGGTACTGCAGACAAATGACCAGTGTGGAGGTACTACAGACAAATGACCAGTGTGGAGGAACTACAGAGTAATGACCAGTGTGGAGGGTACTACATACAACTGACCAGTGTGGAGGTACTACAGAGTAATGACCAGTGTGGAGGGTACTACATACAACTGACCAGTGTGGAGGTACTGCAGACAAATGACCAGTGTGGAGGTACTACAGACAAATGACCAGTGTGGAGGTACTACAGAGTAATGACCAGTGTGGAGGGAATTACATACAACTGACCAGTGTACAGGTACTACAGAGTAATGACCAGTGTGGAGGGTACTACAGACAAATGACCAGCGTGGATGTACTACAGACAAATGACCAGTGTGGAGGGTACCACATACAAATGACAAGTGTGGGAGTACTACAGAAAAACGACCAGTGTAGAGGGTACTACAGACACATGACCAGTGTGGAGGTACTACAGACAAATAACCATTGTAGAGGGGACTACAGACAAATGACCAGTATGGAGGTACTACAGACAAATGACCAGTGTGGAGGGTACTACAGACAATTGACCAGTGTGGACTTACTACAGACAAATTACCAGTTTGGAGGGTACTACAGACAAATGACCAGTGTGGAGGTACGACAGACAAATGACCATTGGCCGATCGACAGCTTTTGATTGACAGCGCGGTTTAGCCAATCAGATCGCGGGTAGTATTCGCCTCTTTGTTTACATTTCGCTACTCCGACATTCTCCGACAATGGTGATACTTTGCTGCTGGGGAACTTGCAACACCGATTTCGCTACCCCGAGCGATTATAGGGAGGTGTTGTGTTCATACCGTTTCCCAAATCTCAGATGAAGCATGAGAAGTGCAAATCTTGGCTCCGATTGTGCGGACGGCCTAAGTATCAACTTAACGAGGAGATCCTGTGGTGTCCTTCTAAAGGAAAGCATGTTAATGTGTGTATTTATAAACAAGCTTGATTTCGGACTGACCATTTTCGGATATTTATTGACTGAAAGGAAATGAAATTATCTGGACATGTTTCTGCTCTTTTACAAAGTTTTACTTTGTGAATGGTCTGTGATAAAATGAATGTTTACTGTTATGGTTAAACAGTTGAAATAAAATCTTAAAGTCTTCCAATAAGGTATTAATATTCTTGATGAAAAAAACCCCCATTAATATGATATAAATAAAAAAACCCAAAAATTTAAGAATTTAATGCCAGTTTAGAAAGTAACCATTATATCAGTGATGTATCTTGGTGGCCATTTCATAAAGACTTTATATGACTGTTAAAGCAAACTTGTTTTGTTTGTTTCTTTGGGGTTTACCACTTCCTTCCCACTTGAAACAGAGGTGAAAGAAATTGCTGCTGCCGGGATTCAAACCCACCCGGCCCTCTGCACCCTTCTGGTCGTTGAGCCTATGCTCTACCAACTCAGCTAACCCTGCATGGCGACTGTTTTTATTTTTATTTCATTAATTCTGCTCCATAGAAAACAATCACATCACTTGAACTTTGTTTTGTTTTTAATTATTTGCAAAAATGTAAAGAGGAAAAAAACATAAACAGATTCAACATTGTGTGGTGTTTAAAGGGTATCTTCAGCGAAAAATGTTTTTTTTATATATGAAAATATAGGTTACTGTGACCACTTTACAAGAAATAAAAATTTTCAAAGATGAACCATAAAAGCGACATTGACTGTTAAAATGGCAAAATTATCGATTTCACGGAAACTGTTGTCTGAAAACCCAATAAGTGACCAGTGACGTCACTGTGTACCAAAAGAGACTGAAATCGACTCGATTTAACATGGCGAGTATAAGGAAATGAAAGTACATGACTACTTAAATGGACTGTTTTAAGTCATTCAAGGAGGAAAGGGGCTAAAAAATATATATACATAATTTTAGGTTACTAAATTCCCTATTTATTTAATTGTTGCACTGCTACCACATATAAAATTAGTTTAAAAAGTCAAAAACCGTCTCAGAAATACTCGTCTGAAAAACGGATCGTAGTAATGTGGCGACTAACTGGGTCCTGGCAATATGCGTCAAATGAAAAAGACAGTTTTTACTCCTTCAATAACGGAAAGGGCTATAATTCATAGATACAAATTTAGTATTTTGAATTCCCTATTGATTGGTATATATATTGAATAAATGCAGTGATTTGCCATGTTAACCTTATTTGAAAAGGAAAACCTCATAAATATTCGACTGAAAACGGGTATATCCCCAAATTTTTCCGCTGACTGGGGAAAACATGGCCACTAATTTCAACTGTATTATCGTCTCTTGTTTGGAAGGACGCTCGTTGAAAGAATGACCCAGACACGAAACCGTTTGCTTTTAATTTTTTCTTCAACGACACGTTAGAAGTATAATTAAGTCCGATATCATTGGGAATGACGTTCAATGCTGACGACGCTTTGTTTGTCGGAGATGGTGAGAGTAGCCTCCCTTTATTTTCGGTAGGCGTGGTTATCTTTGCGTTGTCGATCGGCCAATTGTGGAGGTACTACAGACAAATTACCAGTGTGGAGGGTACCACAAACAAATGACGAGTGTGGAGGTACTACAGACAAATAACCATTGTATAGGTTACTACGGACACATGACCAGTGTGGAGGTACTACAGACAAATGACTAGTGTTGGAGGTACTACAGACAAATGACCAATGTGGAGGTACTACAGACAAATGACCAATGTGGAGGTACTACAGACAAATGACCAGTGTGGAGGTACTACAGACAAATGACCACTGTGGGGGTACTACAGACAAACGACCAGTGTAGAGGGTACTACAGACAAATGACCAGTGTGGAGGTACTACAGACAAATAACCATTGTAGAGGGTACTACAGACAAATGACCAGTGTGGAGGTACTACAGACAAATGACCAGTGTGGAGGGTACTACATACAACTGACCAGTGTGGATGTACTACAGATATATGACTAGTGTGAAGGGTACTATAGACAAATGAACATT